GGGATGCTTATTCCACCATGCCACCTGATGCCTCCTCTGATGTTTTTAGTGGTCCGTGTTTGCCCTGCTCCCGATTTGCATTTTTTTAATAGACTTTCAATGGACTTTTGATTACTGTTTGTTATCTGATATTTCATTCCAGACTATGCAAAGGCACAGGACATCTGATGTTTCTCCTCCACAGCAGTTACAATTTTTGTAAGGAAAAAAGGTTGGTGCTTGGTAGAACATTTGCTGGACCCGACATTGTAAGGCTTTTTGTAAAGTTTAGGAATCCAATGTAGGTAAGATAGATCAAACCCCACTTTGGTAAAAATATGTGATCACTTTATTATAAATTACAATGAAGAGTGATGAATATTCTCAAATATGTGCACTTGGATAAGTTGCACTTTCGTGAAATATTCGTGAAATATTACAGCTTTTCAGTCACTTTCAGGTACAGTAAGATACGATGAGTCGGTTTAGTAGAAAGAAATCTATACGTAAAATAACATTGTCTAATACAAACTTGGTACCCACGACATGAGATAGCCAGTACACATTATGACGTCATATTATGACGTCATTGTTCTTTACTACACAAGATTATAATGGACATCAACAAAATGCTTCGGCGTAAGGGCATGCTGTATTTTATTTAACGGAAATAAGTTTTATCTAGAAGCAAAATATTCCAAAGATTGTCGGTATTTCTGCACAAATATCAACAGCTCATTTGTATCTATACTTATAGATTAATATTTTTTTGCAAATAAACTCCGAAACGGGTGCACCACAGTTCTTAATTACTCCTCTAACAATATACTGTATATAAGATGATGTCCGTAAACTATATTTAGATTTCACTCCCATAGTAAGTATCGTACATTAAATTAAAAGTCTACTTTCATTTTCTGTAAAACAGCCATGAAATAGGAAAAAACGTGAGTACGGTGGTGTTTCCGGTTGGCGGATCTAAGTTACTAGCAATTTTTAATGAAACTGACAACAAGCATTTATTTCATAAAACGTCATCACTGAATCATTCAATCAAAACTTGAATTAAATGATATAAAAGAAATATGTTGTGATAACCGATTAAAAAGGGAAATGTGCTAATTATTTTCGTCATTCACCGATCTTAATATTGACGGAAGCTTCTAGACCATCATATAGCATCGAGCCCGATGTTAAAAAGAAAAAAACGAGGCGATTACAGCTGTATGAACATAAAAAAAGCTTTTGTTTGAATGATCATTGAAATAATGGTAAATCATTGATAACACTATAAGTTGTGAATATACTGTATTTATCTATCGGAAGACTATTACATATATGTGGAAGGTTTTCCTAATAAATTTATCGGTAACATCGTGGCAAGGAACCCGAAGTACAATTTGTACTTCGTAATAAACTTGCTTACATAAAAAGAGAAAATTGATAAATAAAATATTGTTCAAATACAATTCAATCTATAAAATGTTGTGCTTTAATCAATACATTTCAGGGTTTTTTTTCTGAATACAGTTTTTTGTATCAAATACTCGGCCTATTCATAGAGCGTTAAAAGCTTCTTTTTTTTTTTACAGTCTCAGGTACTTGGGTTATTGATATGTAAAAAAGTAAAGTACATTTTTTACATATTAATAAGGTACATACATATTTATAAACCAACACCCAAGTACCTATAAATTTTAACCCCCCCCCCCCAATCAATTTAACAGTTAAAATGTGCATATTTGCTTATTTCGCTGCTTTTATCCTCGACGAAAATGAAATAAGAGTACAATATCCATAACATAGTATTACATGTTTCAAAATAAACGTCAATTAATGAAATCTTTATTTTTCAAGCTTTTACAAAAAAAGGGGGTGGGGTGGAGACGTACATCTACTTCATGCAGGATTTTGAACAAAGTATTTCTTCCTGCTATAAGCCTGTAGGCTGTCAATAGAAACTACAATATATTTTCTGTCGGTAGTGGTATAAATTCAATTCCCCGCGCTTGCGAGGGATTTCATCTAGTAATTTCCATTTGTAAAGTTTTAAGTTGAATCAGGGTAAAATGTACAGTCCGGTATAAGTTTCTTCATATTCCGATCAAATGAGAAAATGCCTAGGATTTGTGCAGCAGTTTTATTAATCCTCAGAATATTATTCTTATCATTATACAATTTTTATGTTAAATTAAATTGGGTAATCCCTTGCGCCGAAGTCGTTTTGTTGATGTGTTTTAATACCTCCTGTAGGTAAGAACAATGACGTCATAATATGACGTCATAATGTGCACTGGCTATAACATACGATGGATACTAAGTATGCATAAGAAAATAATTTAATTTTGTTTGTATTCTAGCTTCTGATTGGTTAATATCCAAAAAGGAACACAAATTATTTCTGTATAACCTGGTTTGGTATGGGGACACCCCCCCCCCCCCCGACAACCAGCTGAATCGTCTGTATCCATGCAATCCTCTCATTTCCAGTCCTCGGGATTCATGGAAAATTCCAGATTTAATGAATGTACCTTTAACTTCAAACAGTAACTTGGATCTTACCACATGTAAACAAAACAACATGGCTCCTAGGACTATGTATCAGTTTTTACCTCCCCTCGCTTTCCATCACTTCCGTTACTAGGGTTGTATTATTGAGCGGCAAATTTGAACTAATAAAAAGCAACGAAATATTACACCCACAGTTGTTTAATGATTTTAGAATTAAATTATAAGGAATGACTCTTATTCTTGGCCAAATTATTCGAGTATAACCTGGTTTGGGTCAGTTTACGCTGTTTTATAATCCGCTTCGCGGATTATAAAGCGTAAACTGACCCAAACCAGGTTATACTCGAATAATTTGGCCAAGAATAAGAGTCATTCCTAAAATAAATCAAAACTTTCTCTGAAAAATAAATATACCTCTCATACATTTTTATTAGCTCATTAGCATAGAAACGCCTATACCTAGCCTAAATTCACATGCGATTAATAAGACATTGTCGATATATAAAATTGTTATATCTTCAAACATTGTTTCCTAAATGAATCTATGCTAAAAAAAACCCAAACATTTCCAATTTATTCTACGGAGAGGTCCAAAGAAGAAAAATAAATCGATGATATACCGCAGAGCGAATATTGGACCTGTGGATGAGATATTATACCGTTAACTTCACACCATGGGTGGAATCAGCTATATCTTGTTTGCATCCGCTGGTGTTCGACAGTCACGGAATTGACCGATTTTAAACCGCTGGTGTTCGACATTCACGGAATTGACCGACTTTAATCCGCTGGTGTTCGACAGTCACGGAATTGACCGATTTTAAACGCTGGTGTTCGACAGTCACGGAATTGACCGACTTTAATCCGCTGGTGTTCGAAAGTCACGGAATTGACCGACTTTAAACCGCAGGGCGGCAAAACGAAGTCCTCATGAAAGCCAGCATAATATATGTCACAAAAAAGAGAGAAAAGGTATAACAAACATTTATTGACTGTTCTCTCGGGCAAAATGCGTTTTGCCAACCCCTAACGGCCTCAAGCAAATAGTTTGGTTCTTGGGTCCGACAAAACGCATGCTGTCCTCTAACCCAGTTAATAATTGTATAATGTTTAATTGAAGCCCAAAGCAGTGAGTTCTTTTCCTGTAAAAGTCTTCAACAATGAAATATCCATTGATCTGAATGTGATTATTATCATTTCTATTTTTCTTGGAATGAAATATGAAGATAACGAATAGTAATAAAGCTAAAAGGTCCGTTGAAACAATACAAATTGGGAGCAGAGCAAACGCGGACCTCTAAAAACATCAGAGGTGGGATCAAGTGTGTAGATATTTGATATCGCTATCAATGATGTACAGTATTCTTTACAATATAATCAAGTAAACAGCCACAGTTATTAGTTTTCATGCAATTAAAGGAGAGTGATAGCAGTAAAATGGCTATGTTGATTTTGTCCTCCTTATTAACATATACTCAAGGAAATACCTCTATAAAATTGTCTTAACTCAAATTATTAATAAAGAATCTTTGAACAGTGTTAATTACAGTACCAGATTATATTTCACAAACTTTCTATAATTAGGTTAATATAAAGGTATATCTTAATATCTTTTCACTTTATTTTTAAATATTTACATTTGCAAATGTTTTCTCTCATATAACACTATTAAAAGCAACGCGTATCTATATCCGTATAAACACGGGTTCCTCGCGTCATAAACGTTCGTAATTTGTCAGTGACGTCATAAATGGTCGACGTGCAAACAATGGATCAAACACGTGTCGTTGAATTTGAAAAATAAAACATTTCACGCAATAAAGACTATAGTCAGGAAAATATAAAATATGAATAAGTCATAAATGTAAATATAAGTAATAATGTATCATTTTTAAACATCTATCAGGATATATAAATACGGGTTGGGCTTTATGGAATTTGATCTCGTGACCAACCCGTATTTATATCCCGATAGATGTTTAAAAATGATGCATTATTTCTTAAATAAATAACACTGCATTTGATGGTGATAACAACTTATTTTAGAAATAAATCACATATTCGGATTTCTTAAAAATAAATCGCAAAGGTATCGATGTTTGTCACATATCATAATCGTTTTCCCATTTTATTAATCTGAAAAAACAGTTGTACTTAGGGGCTAAAATGACTATATCTAGGATCTATTTTTCTTAAATTGCTAAAACATCAAAGTATTCAGTTACTTTAATATAAATCATATAAGGTACCAATTTTGATACACAAGATGCGCATTTCGACAAATAAAGTCTCTTCAGTGATGCTCAAGCCGAAGTGTTGGAAATCCAAAATATTTAAATAAAAAGACTTGAAGAGCTGAAAAAAGGTGATAGAGACTGGAGCCAAATATGTCGAAGGATCAGAGCTATGACTTTAACTTGGCTTTAACCTAAATGATAAAAACCAACACACTTTTCTACAGAATGACTGCATCCGTTGTTCTTGAATATTGGAAAAGAAACAAAAATACGTACATACCAGCAATTTATTTTTTTAAAAAAAAACATTAAAGATACTTTCCTATAAAAATATTTCATCAGATGAAATATCACAGCATTTTATGAGCAGAAATCATCAGAAATGTGTTTTCTTAAACTTCATAAGTTTTCGTCTCTAATTTGTTTTTTATCATAGTAAATTTAAGTTTCATACATCCTTAATTTTAAATGGATATATATTCACCCTTTCACACATTATAGATTTCAAATCAATTTCACACATATTACCAACAAATGGTGCTATATATAGAGGTAAATGCATTTTAAGGTGTACAACAAATGATAAAAAACAAGCATTTCACAAAAATAATAACAAATAAAATCTATAACAAGCAACAATTCAATGAAAATACTTCTAAAATTCATATAAATAATATAAAAATGCAGTATATGAAATTTAAACATATGACATGATTAAAAAATGTGCAATTTATAATTATATCACAGTTTTTAATATTAAAATTTTAAAAAAAATGTTTTTTTTAAACGTGACAATTTTTTTAAAACATCACATGTAACATGGTTTGTACAAGCTTATTTGTTTAATAATGTGTCTGCATCGATTGAAAAATCTTCATCATTCTATACTTCATATAGGATCAAAGCTTCAGCGGAAAGGATTTCAAACTAATATTTACCTTGATTTTTTCCAAACACTTTAAATCATAATTTAACATTGAAATAAAGATTTTCACACCTAGCTGCTTTAAAAAGGGCAACAAAAAGGTATCTATGACAACAGTAAACGTTCCTTCCTATTTCTTCCTCTCCTATTGTATTAGTATTAAATACAGTGAATTGTTATTGTCAAAATAATGTTAGACTAATTAATGCAGTGTACAATTAAATAGGGGTAGAATGTAATAAGCAGATCAAAGAAATAAAGTGTGAAGTCAGTGTGCAAGGTGTCGTACCGGCGACTGTTCCCGTTTTAATGGAAAATATTTCACTTTGTTATAAAATTATTTTCTAAAACCTTCCTAAAGTCTGCAATGCATTATGTCAACAGTGTGTAATCCATTATCTGTTTGTGACTCCATGTGACGTAATAGACAGTGGATTGTGAACTTGTGACGTGTCAATAAACACAGCAGTCGACGCGTTCACGAGCGGTAACTCGTGACACTGTATGGAGCGCCGCCCTATGTACCGCCGCACGAGCCTCGGCAGCGGATTGGTAGCAGACGAACTTACTGGCGTCACTGGCCGCTTTATTCCACCATCTGTATAACGCAGAAGCATCTTCTCAGCTCTAAGCGTAGTCTGCATGCCACTAAGATTGCTAGCAGAGTTCAGACTTCCAGACGACCTAAGCGAACAGGCGGAAGCGCTGGGAGGGCGGGGTGAGTAGCTGCTCTTTGGTCTGGTGGGGAAACCCCGCGCCGCGCGGTAGGATTCGCTACTGGTATATCCTGGAGGAATAACAAGGCTATCAAGTTTACATTTGCATTGCGGATTGCTGTTATCAAGGTGTAAATTCATTCCATTGCCACACTCGACACAGGTACGCCCCCAAGCACCATCGATTAGCGGACTCAAACCTGTTAAAATATTAGAACACACCAAAGTCAAAAAAAGGTTAGTGAAACGGTAAAACACGACACTTATATGCTTATGTATCTGTAAGCATTTCAACATTTACATGAACCAGGAATATCACTGTCAAATTTATAGATCCGTAAAAATTGTGATGAACCATTACAACATTTTATATTGTTATGTTCAGTAATAATTAATATGACGTTAAATATCACAGTGATTTTAGATCTTTTCGTTATATAAGGATGAACAGCTTTGTACACATAAGCATCGTAGGTCGTATAAAAAGCATCAGTTTTTTTTTTAATTAGTTCCATTAGTGATTTTAGGTATTCAATAAAAACAAAATCAAATTAATCATCAAAATATCGTTAATCAAGTAACTGCATTTTTTTTTTAATTTCAGACATTGTTAAATAAGAGAATAATAGCTTTTTTAATACTGTAATAAAAATATCATCCAATAGTGTTTATATAAGGCAGTTTTCTGTCAGTTTTCATATTAAATGATATACATTTCATTGAAATGACTGTATTCAAATATTAAATTACCGTTGAATAAGATTATTCCAATAGTAAATGATATACATTTCATTGAAATGATTATATTGAAATATTAAATTACTGTTGCATAAGTTATTTTTGCATTAAGAAACATGAATACCAGGGACCTGTATACACAAGTATATATGTCCCTGGAAGTACAAATAATATCAGTAGAAAACAAGCTAGTTACGTACGTATTGAAGCTGATTAAGTTGGCAAAGACACAACATTGTAAACATATGCAAAATAAATATAACCCATGCAGTTTTATATTCTTTTTCAAACTTTTATATAAAGAAAGATTATTACCAAATAAGGAAGAGGATTTTAAGAAGAGCAAGAGATGCATGCATGCACAGGAAGAGGAAGTTGACAACAAGCAAGTAGAGGGCGCTCCAAATAAGTAGAGGGCGCTAAAGCGGCAGAGAGCGCTCCAAAATGTAGAGAGCTTTCATATATATATTTTGGGGTCGCTTAATTTGAAAGAATATATCAATAAAACAGAACTAAGTCCTTTCATTTAATTATAACTTTATAAAATTAAACTGATTTATACATACATGTATATATATTTTGGTTATGCTTTCTTTGTTAGACATAGTTTTAAACTTGAAATTAGAGATAATAAGCCGTCATTCTTGAGGGGTAGGGATACGTAATGTAATGCTAAGGTATAAACACGAGTGAAAGCAAAAAAGAGCCAAAAAAAAAAAAATGATCTAAGTAACGAAAAAAAGGTGCCAGATAAATGTAGTTAACTTTTAAAATTTACAAAACCTCAACCAACATAATTAAATAAAGTGCACAACCATGGCACATGATACACTCGTCAAACATTGGTCAGTCATCAGATTAAACAGATGAGAGTTGCATGTGTTGGAGTCTCACAATAAAAGTATTATATTATACAATAAGTTAATATTGAAAATAAAGACTAGCCAACAAGAACTATTTACATTTGACAGCTGCTATTCATTTCAACAAAGGGACCAGATTCTTCTGTGCAATTCCCGAGAGATAAAGATAACACCTGTATGGTCACTGATGCTCTAACAGGGATGATTTAGACAGTCTTCTTACACTAAACTCATTAATTAATCTCTAAATTAAAAGATGAAATTTGTCTCTAATATAAAGTCATGAAACTAAATATTTATTTTCTTGAATTAACGTTTCGTCATAAGGTTACTGCAATACTCTTACATCGCTAGGGATTGTGTAACTTTAGAAACATTTTTTTTTAATTAAAAGACACAGTAACCTTTTTGTAGAGTGCGACACACCCTCGTCCTAAGATGCATTATCTGACCAAGTTTTATGATTCCTAGACTTACAATATATCATCTTAAATATAGGTCACAGCGACCTACTTTTAGTTTGCGACAAACCTTCTAGGCTTCTATGAAAGTTGTATCAGCTGATATAGTTTGATTATTCTAGGCCTCATAGTCTTAAGTTATGAACCAGACATGAAAACGCTATGAGATAGAGACGGGTGGACATGAATGCCATACCATAATTTTTCCTGTCTTAAGAAGGACGTATATGAAAAATAAATAATCTTAAACAACAAATAGAACAATCTTGATTTGTAACAGTTAATAAAAAAACAAATTCAAATAAATTCTAGATGAAGATGCCAAAAACTTTTGTTCCGCATGAAACATATTGCTGAAAATGAACTACGCAGTGTTAGTAACATAAAAGATAGGAATGCAATACACAACAAATAAAGGTGAACATGTAAAAAAAATAAATATGACACCATCACCAAGTGAGACTATAAAGCAAAAGGCGATAAAATACCGTGAACGGGTGAAAGAAAAATAAGCCCCTAGTCTAATCCCTGAATTTGGTTTATGACGTTAACCTTAATGACAGGAAGCTTTTGAATCATGACATATGGTGAAGCTTTAGTCATGTTCAGTTTGACGGGGTTCCTAGCATACTGTGGGAGGGAAAAAAGACGTCGGCTTGTGATGGTCTGATGTGGCGGGCTCCCCAAACCGTTCATGGTCTTTCTACGTCTTCGTTTGCCTTCAAAAAGATTTATTTTTTCATTATCAAACTGAACCTAGCTGTAATATTAGTGATGTGTACTTTGAATTTTTCTTGTTGTGTGTCTCATTATTTAGAACTTTTATGATAGATTTTCTCATTGAAAAAATAATATTGGCGTATGTATATGTGTAATCACAATGGTAAAGTCATCAAATGCCACGCATGTCATGGGGTCAAGGTTCAGAGGTGAAAGTGCATTAGTCTTTAAAATGATGATGTACGGCAATGTCCCATGCAGCACACGTGGTCTGATGTGTAATGGCACTAAAAACTCTCCTTCTATCAACAGGCAAGCAATTTTCTGTTCATTCTTATTCATTTTTTTTTTTAAAAAAATACATTTAAAATAAACTACTCAAAATCGAATCAAATCTGAATTGAAATCAAGTTAAATGTACACATATAATTTGTGCCATATAAAGAAACTTCATATTGCAGTAAATATGTAAATAATGATAATAATTATAATAATTTTTTTTTAAAAATCTTAATTTGTTCTATTGATGATAGGATGTGTTAGTACATGTACTATGTCACATTTAGACAACTTTTATTAACATAGTTAATCTTTTGCTTTCTATTTAATTAGTATCTAGTTGCAAAATAATGTGAATTGCATGGGACGATGATATCATGCATATTAATGAGAAGAAAATTGAAGAATTAATGACAGTCTAGCACACTTGAAAGACAAGACAGTATCACGTGACTTTTCCCTGCAAGTCGACCAAACGCCATGTGTAACGCCGTGAAGTAAAACACTCAACGGACCAGGAACTTTCAGCCAGTGCATGCATGCAAAACTTGTCCTCCTTCTTCAAACTTAACTCGAGAGGAAGACATACAGTCATTAAAAATGTCATAAATGTTAGCACTAACTTTAATTTATAAAGATTTAGTAATATTAGTATCGTTTTTAAAATTTATAAGTATTAATTGTATAAATCGTTTTTTATTTTTTTTTTCTGAACTTTTTCTTGATATGTTTTCTTCTAGCTTATTCCTAGCCTATTTAAATCCGTCCTAGCAGGCTGACAAACCATGCAGAGTTATCTGTTACCATTAGATATAAGATACTGGCGTGATAGCAGGACGGAAGCTTTCTTCATTTTCTCTATTAATACTGAAATACTTTAGTTTTGGTGCCTGGTTCTGCAGTCCCTTAAAGCTCACATTTATGCTAGCATAGGGGACCCGGGGGAACTTAATCATAACTTCGGGTCGTTTACAATAATCCTTTTGTTTTCGGATCTGATGCCCCAATGGCCTATGGACATGGGTTCGCTTTTTTGAAGTGCGGGGAGGCTTTTTAACAGGGAGAGCTGCCAGGTTGTATAGGCTCTGCACATCCCCATTACCTTTGGTTATAGCACCGGCCAATGATATTGAAGGAGGAGCCGGGTTTGCTGGCTTGATGGTCTGAAGGTCAGTCGACTCTACGTTATTGACAGCTAACGTTGGACGATCGAGTTTGTCAATGTTGGGAATCGTGTAGTTGTTAGAGACAGATGAACTGGAGACCATCTTTTTACCAGCCCATGCACTGCAGCTAGAGATGGGCAAAGAACCTGACTTCTCAGCCTTTGGGAAAGCCAGAGGTTGGGACATGGAGACCTGACTACTGTTGTCCTTTTCTTTGCTCTCCTTGCTATTTTCCTTCGTCTCCTTGCTGTTCTCCTTTGTCTCCTTGCTGCTTCTGCCGCTGGATTCTGAGTAACAACTAGAGTGACTAGAGGACGGTGTGACTTGGTTTTGATCATTTTGTGATTTGTGATGACTAGTCCTTTTTTGTGTGTTATATTTGTGCGGATGATCCTGACTTTCGCCTGGCGCGGACTTACCCTTCGCTGGAGCACTATTGGATGCATTTGTATTCTTGTGACTTGCATCAAAATTTTCGCTTTGAGGTCTCTTGGTTGTTGGTGGTGCTGGCTTGAAGCTTAGTTCTTTGCTCTCTGTACTAAATGCAGGAGGTTTCCGTGGAGAAAAGTAGGCATCATTATCCAGGCTTTTTCGTACATTGTTAAAGCCAAATGGTTTTCTCACTGTTTGTCCCTCAACACAGAGGTTGGTGCCTATGTAAGGGGGAACAGTCACCAAAGGCTGTTTGAATGCTAGCTCAAATCTCCCTATATCACAATTTCGGTCGTATCGCCTATCCACCACAACTGAAACAAATACCACCTCATCATCATTTTTTCATTAACAACATTTTGTGCAAAGGAAAATAACTGAATACTGGTACTGTAATAAGCAGTATCCAAGTTGAAACTTTCTACATATGAAGAAGCTCATTATACACACCTGTCTTTTAACTTAAGACATGATATTAATAACAAAGGGGCTTTTTTGTTTTTCACTATGAGAGGACATCATTATAACTATAAGAAACTGAATAGAAAGTGGACAAGTAATCACCTTTGATGGAATCCTCTAACACATTAGTACACTAAATGATAAATGGACAGGTACTCACCTTTGGTGGAATCCTCTAATACAGTAGTACACTAATGACAAGTAGACAGGTACTCACCTTTGATGAATCCTTTGAACCATTAGTACACTAACTGATAAGTGGACTGGTACTTACCTTTTACAGAATCCTCTACACATTAGTAACTAGATAATAAGTGGACAGGAACTCACCTTTGATGGAATTCTTTAACACATTAGTACACTAAATAATAAGTGGACAGGTACTCACCATTCATGGAATCCTCTAACACATTAGTCCACTAAATAGTAAGTGGGTAGATGCTCACCTTTGATGGAATCCTCTAACACATTAGTACACGAAATAATAAGTGGACAAGTACTCACCTTTGATGGAATCCTCTAACACATTAGTACACGAAATAATAAGTGGACAAGTACTCACCTTTGATGGAATCCTCTAACACATTAGTACACGAAATAATAAGTGGACAAGTACTCACCTTTGATGGAATCCTCTAACACATTAGTACACGAAATAATAAGTGGACAAGTACTCACCTTTGATGGAATCCTCTAACACATTAGTACACGAAATAATAAGTGGACAAGTACTCACCTTTGATGGAATCCTCTAACACATTAGTACACGAAATAATAAGTGGACAAGTACTCACCTTTGATGGAATCCTCTAACACATTAGTACACATACGCCGAGTTATCTCAGTACTACTCTCCATACTAGGGCTGGAGTTGATTTCTATCAACCAGGGACGGTAGTCCTCAGTCAACATGAAATCAGCACCATATAATTCAAACGACGACTGTTAAAGAAAGATAAGGCCAATCAATTTCGTTCAGAAGAAAGATAACTCCAATTCATTGTCTGACAGACAGAAACATCTTTACATATTGGAGTCAGGTAAAAAAACGATTCTTAAGAATTCAATAGATTCCCTAAATTGCTACTTATTTGTTAGAACAGTTATTGACAAGCACATAACTAAATTCTTTTTATGATTTCACTTCACATTATAATGAATTAATTGTTATTTCTATACACACAGTGATTTTTTTTCTGTTTTATTATTCAATTCTTTGTGCACACTCTTCGTAAAAAATTAAAAGCATTGATATCGACCTAAGTGCAATTCTACAAATGTGATATCTTTGACAGCTGATGAAAGTTGTAATAATAAGATATTACGTGTTCACCATCAGCAGCATACAATATCTCAATTCAATAAATAATAACTAATCTGCAAGAAAAAGTCCTTTTTAACCTAAAAATAATCACATTACAAAAAGAATAAAAGAAACTAGAAATACGTCCATAGGACATGTATGGCCTGCCTAAGGGAACGTTTGTATTTAAAATATGAAAAGAAAATGTACCTTTTTCATTGGTCTGAGCTTATATTAAAAGGCTAGGAAAGAAGGGACCTTGTATGAAGTTTGACTGAAACATCTTGAAAAGTGAGGTAAGGTTCGAAATTATGGTTCGACTGAATTGCTGTTACCAATTCCCACCAAATAAAGTTTAATGAAAATATCTTTAACAGATTCTTTAAACTGAACTAAAGGAAAAGTGGTTGTGTGACGGATGAACAGAAAGAGGGACCGAAGAATGGAGGGATGGAAGAATAGAAGGACGGAAAGACGGAAAACAGGCATGAGTAACGAGTAACACTGTATGCCCTGGTCATATTCATGGCATAAAAAAAGTAAAGTCCTCATTTCTGGATGGACAGCACTAAGAATATATAGAACAGAATCTAGGAAGGTGAAGTTTGAAAAGCCAGGTTTCTTAAATAAATGTCCTTATACGTGCTGTGACAACTCACCTTAAATGTGGAGGGCTAAAACATAGAATAGGTGCTACATAATAGGTGTCAATCCTATGTATCTAAATTTTGTGTTCATCGAATTATTTAGCAGTAAATTATCATCATGTCATCTCGAAACAACCAATTTGATTTTCAACTCGTAGACAAAAATAATTTATTTAAAAAAAATCAATGCAATATGCAGGCTCTTAAAGATATATTTTAACTTTAAATCTCAGATTTTCCAGCAAATGGCACAGGATTGACATACAAACTGCAGAGAATGTCAACAACCACTCAGAGTGTTTGAAAAAACGTGTCACACTAAGGCATCTTAACATATTGAATGTGATCTTAAATTCCATCAGGTGTTAATACAAAGATGAATATCCTAACGAATATGAGGAATGGTTGCCAAAATGTTTAGATATTAGTATACAATTATTACTGGATCAAGAAAGAGGAATGCACTGTTGAGATGAACTTCAATAACTAAAGCCCTTTTTTTCACATTATCAAGTATGGAAGCATAATTCAAACATGTTGAATCTGTGGGGCTGGTGCAAGCCATATTTTTGCAATTCTACACCGGACAAACACCTGTTATTTTATTGAATGGTGAAATATGGAAAATTATTTATTCAGACTGAAATTTCACTGAGCTTTAAAAATATATATACTTTATATTGAATAAACATAGTATAAATACTCTATATAAAACCACATAGTCACTACTGTTATCAAAGTTCAAATTTTTAATGGTCAAAAAGACACCGGATAAAATGAATCTTATATTTTGAACACAAACAAAATTATAATTTATACCCAAACAGTGCCCTGCCCCGTGTTAATTCCATCAAAATTCCATAAAAAAGGTAAGTTAAAAAGTTGGCCACTTCACTATTTAAATATTCCAGTTAGGTGAGAACTTTATTCTTACATGAAAATTAATAAGGGTATTACCTTTCTGTATTCAATGACATCTTGTGTAGACAATAAGGCACAAATTATGGCTTTTTTCATGCCAGGGTAGATCAAGTCTTCCCACATATTACCATGACCCTGGCCTCTGAAAAGTAGTAAGCAAAGATAAAATATTACCTCCTTATAAATAGGTATTTGCATACTATAAAAAAAACCCAAGTTTTACTGTTCTAGCAATTTTCTAATTTGTTCGTTTCTTTTTCTATCTCCTTAGCTTTTTTAGTATTGGTCCAGGTCTATCTTATTTAATTAAATGAAAACAAGAGTAATTATATTTCTCTACAATCCCCAATGATTCCTGTCATGTATAAATAATTTAACGTCTTACTTGATGTAGTCTTGAAACTGCTCATGAGTCCACATGTTTTGTGTGGGCAGTAGTGGATGTCTGGGACCGTTTTTATAATATTTTTGGATGGCATTGTTGGACAGATGAATGGACTCATCAAAATCATCGAGAGTGTACTCTTGTGAACAGAACCTGAGGTAGCTGTCCTGGTAGAACCAGATGGTTAGAGGGTTCCAGTCCGTGACAAGGAACCACTGACGAATGTCAAACTTACAGTTGTATATCAAAAGTGGTCGCTCTGAAAACACAATAATTAATGTGATAATAACTGTATATCTGTTGAGCTGCACGTTTAAATTTTTTGTAGACCAGTTAAATTTTTTTAGCAATACACTAAAATAAACTTTTAAGATTTTTTTATTCACTAAACTTCCATTGCACATTTTTAAACTAAATTTACAATGCATGATTGCAATTCACTTTTAATTTTTATTTTTAAAATATATAACGCAGCATTCCTACACATCCTTACTTACCCATATATTTTTGCACAACATATTTGTTGTCTTTGCGTACCACTTGACTACTGACTAATTTCAACATGTCCTCCAGTTTATCATAACACACAATTCCTAGAGCAAAGGAAAATCAGATGTAAATAACCAAAATTATGGGATCAATTCACTACCAATATAAATATTATTATAAAGACCGCTGTTCAGAGATGCCAGCATACAGCAACATTGAAACTGATCTTAAATTAACAATTGCAACAACTTGGAGAGGGTGATCCTCTGCTCAACGAAAATGGAGATAAAAATAAAACTAACAAATTTAACATAATACAGAAAAATTTCATATAAACAAGAGGTCTGAATGCCACAACGTAGTAGTGTTGGCTTTGCTGTTATTTGGAAATTTGTTTAAAAAGATTTTTTACCAATTTATTACCATGAAGAAATTTTGACCCCATGTGGCCTCTTTCTAGCCATGAGAGGTCATGTTTTAACCAAACTTGAATCCATATAAAATGGGATTCTTATTTATAACTGTGAATGTTCGCAATAAAATTACAGAATTTAAAATCAAGTCACATATATATCTTCAACCAAGAATTCAAATCCCCATAAACGATATGAATATTTTTTCCTCAAACAACGCAAATTTGACCCCACAAAGGTGTTTTAGAGTATCAGACCGAGTATAATTAATGTGCCCTTTGCGTTCTGGAGATTTTAAATTTTTTTCTCTAACGCAAATATTGTAAATATGATCCAAGATTTCATCCCTTGCTGTTCTTGTGGAGATTTTTAAAGATCTTTATATATATATATATATATATTCCCAAGTAAAACTTTTCTCCCACACAGTAGCACAGTAGTCTGAGCTATGGACAATGTCATTTGAATTTTCAGTATTTGAAAAAGATTTTGCTAAGTTTCTTCTTGTTCTTTGGAAGATTTTAAATGATAATTGATCCTATTTAATTTATTGCCTTCTCTTGATTATCTCTTCTTGGATTTGGCATGGTCTTCAAATGGATGAATTTGAATTTCCTTTATCCAATTGATACATTGTGTCAATTTGACTGAAATTAGCCCACTGGTTTTGAAGGAGAAGGAATTAAAAATGAGAAAAGTTTACAACAAAGTTATTTACAACAACGATAGACAATAGACACTGAATGAACTTTGATCAGAAAAAAGATCAGGAGTGTCTTAGACTGAGTAAGTTAAAGAATAGAAATTTATCAAAGTAATCCCTATTATCTGAGGGTCAGTCCTACATGTATGTCATTGAGTTACCTCTTCCTCTGGATTTGGCTCCTGGTTTAACGATCCAGATATTCTTATGTCCATCCATTTCAAACTGAGGCATATTGAGTTTTAGATTGTATAAAAGCCTATCTACTTCTGCTAACATACTACCAGACACATTGGCTATAACACCACCATCACTGTAGAGATACATATACAAAAATTAGTACTGCTCACTCTCAAATAAATAAATTATTTTATATCATAGAGAAATAAACTGATATGTTTTAGTGGAAAAAGATAATTCAAACATTAATTAATATTAAACACTTTAAATATTGTGGCAGGGAGCACAGAAAACTGTCATATTTAAACCGAAAATGATCATGATAGACAACTGGATTCATTATTTGGGAAGCAAAGTTAAGAATAAAGAACTCACTTTACAAGCTGATAATACCACTTCAGAGTTTCATCCCACTGTTGTTGTGTTAATTCATGGGGCTGGAAAAACAAAGTAGTCAGGTTAAGGATTATATGTAACTCCTCTATAAAAGTTAATTTTTTGAAAATCTATCAACATGAGCTTCAACGACATATAGCAAATTATTTTATGATTTGGAAGAATAGAAGTACAGCTGGACGATCAATTTTGACCCAGAATTCGAAGGGCATAACTGAAATAATCACTTTATATAATATATATATTTAAAAATTTAGAATCTGCTCAATATTTTCAAATTGAAAAATAAGAATGATACAGCCTCAAATATTCCCTTCTTTAGAACATAACAGGGGCAGAAAGTATTCTACAATACTCCAGATAAACTTTGATATTTTTCTAACTCTCTGATAGTGTTTATTAAAAATATATGATAAATACAAGTATGTGGAAACTTAAAAATAAAATTGTTGAGAAATTTTGAAAATTCATTCATACTCAAAATGTAAATGGAATTGGAAGCTTACATCATTTAAAACATCTATATCATCATGACTTCGCTCCTCTATAAATTTATCACATTGCTTCATTGCTCTCTCTAGACACGTTATTGGGACCACCACCTTCTTTTTCTTCTTCCCTCCCTTCTGTTTTACAGAACGACTTGTTACTGTAACAAAAAATGATCATTACTTAACAGATTAGAATACGAAAAGACGCAAAACTAATTTATTTTGAAAAATGACTTGATTTTCCATTTTATACATGTAACATTATATATATCTTCTGATTACAATACCTGGTGTTTTAGCACTCTCCACAGGTCTGATAATTATATATATCTTCTGATTATACCTGGTGTTTTAGCACTCTCCACGGGTCTGATAATTATATATATCTTCTGATTACAATACCTGGTGTTTTAGAACTCTCCACGGGTCTGATAATTATATATATCTTCTGATTACAATACCTGGTGTTTTAGCACTCTCCACGGGTCTGATAATTATATATATCTTCTGATTACAATACCTGGTGTTTTAGCACTCTCCACGGGTCTGATAATTTCAGGTGTCTTCTCTTTAGGTTTATTTCCCTTGTTTTCAGCTTCCAATGTTTTCTGTTCTAACATTTCTAATCGTTCTTTAGCGTGAGCACAAACATTTCCAGATGATACACCTGGTTTAGACCGAGTACACTCGGGGTTAGTACAAACAAACTCCTCTTCCTTTTTATCAGAATTTGAGTCATTTTTCTCACTATTGTCTCCGTTTTTATCCGTTTTCTCGGATCCGGTATCTTTTTTCTCCTCTCCGTTATCTTTATTTTCCTCTTCCTCAGGAATAATTTCATCTTTATATTGACTAGATATTATCTTTAGGATATTTACACACATAGTAAGCCTGTAATCATCTGGAATAAAGGAACAAGTTTTACAAATTTTGTTTACTGCAGCATTGAATAATTATTGTCCAGTAAGAAAAATTCTGTACAGCTTTCTGCAATTAACTATTACATTTTAGGAAAGTATACATCTCAGCTGAATCCAGAAATACTGCCCAAGTATGAAAGTAAATACATATTTCTCACACACACGTCTGATTTTGACATGAAAGATTCCATGTATATCATTATGTCCTGATCTCTAATTGTAAAAAACCTTAGAATTTACTCATATTTTAATTAGATTATCAAATAATATTTAATCTTATAGGTATGATTAAGAGATTTACCAATGAAGGAATTCTTCTCCTCCTCATGACTAAGGCGATAACATCGTGGATAGAAGGTGTCTGGGTCTGAATTATCAAACCAAGGAACATTCCTCATGTTGATACATAATCCAACCTACAAAATTTACTGAATAATCAAACCAAGGGACATTTCTCATGTTGATACATAATCCAACCTATAAAATAAAACCAAGGGACATTCCTCATGTTGATACACAATCCAACCTACAAAATCACACCAATGAACATTCCTCATGCTGATGCATAATCTAACCTACAATATCAAACCAAGGGACATATCTCATGTCGTTACACAATCCAACTTACAATATCAAACCAAGGGACATTTCTGATGTTGATATATAATCTAACCTACAAAATCAAACCAAGGTAGATTCCTCATGTTGATACATAATCCAACCTAAAAAATTTACTGAATTATCAAAACAAGGAACATTCCTCATGTTGATACATAACCTAACCTACAAAATCACACCAATGAACATTCTTCATGTTGATACATAATCCAACCTACAATATCAAACCAAGGAACATTCCTCATGTTGATACATAATCCAACCTTAAAAAGGTCCACTTTTTTTCAAAAAAATAAATTTCAGTTTATTTTTTCAAATCTAGTTTTGAATTCAACATAAATATGTTAACTTTTGTTATTTATATTTCAAAAGTTAATATGAGATGAATTCACACCGTAGCTGATACATACTTGGATGTACCCTCAGATCCGTTAACATTAGGCTTATGGGAAAATATAAGAGGGTGGCATTAATAAATCGATGTTTAGAATATGAAGTACATGAGGGACATTCACCTAAATTTGTTCAGTAATTAGATATACTCTGCACACTAATTTCTTGAAATATGATGAGTGTCGCCTGTGCACTTCATATCCAAAAATTAAAAATTGCATAAAATTTGCATATCTAAAATTAGAAGCTCCTGGTTTCTTGATCTGACTCTGTGTTAAAATACTAAACCAAAAGTAGCACATTATTTTTTATTCAAAGAATATTCTCGATTATTTTAACAGTAGAAAACATTATCGTATCTTTTTTTTCATTTCGATACTTTTTTTTGTCGCCGACGTATAACGTTAATGTCACATTTTTAGCTCACCTCCTCGAAGTTGGGGGAGCTTTTGTAATACCGTCTGCACCGGTGTTCCAGGTAAAAGTTTTAGAAGCAGATTTTTTTAAAGTATATCTATGCTCTATATTAATCAGAGTCACCTGATCTAGCGTGTTTCCTTGTCACCACTCACCAGTCGGGTTTCTGATGCTGGATTTTTAGTCAAAGAATGTCCAGGTAAATGTTTTAAAAGCAGGTTTAAGTTTTTGGAGCAGTGCAGCTGTAAGAACTTGTTGACCAGACTTGCTTCATGATGCATCTACGGATGCACACTACTAGATTGCTCCAGATGCTGGATATGACCTACATTTCCTTAATGAGTGAGCAGGTTAAAGATTTTGAAGCGGGTCTAATTTTTATGTAACTATAAGCCCTATCATGACCATACTTGCACTGAAGATGCATCTAGAATTGCACACTACCAGACATGGTTCAGATGCTGAATCTTTCTTACATTTTCCGACTAACTGAACAAAAAATAAGTTTTAGAGCAAGTCCATTCCTTAAGGTTATTTATCATGCATTTTTACAAGAAAGTAAAAAATATAAATATTTTTGACTTTCTTGTATAGAAATTCAATATGCCAGAGAAGCGCCCATATATTTTCGTGTGGTTGACATAGGGAACGTGGGTTGTTTTAAGTCTGGATGTCTAGCGCATATGTCTGCCTGATTAATGATTAAACACATATCTTTGGCGTTTACACATGTATTTCGAATTGAGCGCTGGTCTAGCAAATCATATATAATGAATTCTAAAACGCTCTAAATGAGAAGTGACAAGAGTTTGGTGAAGCAACTTAAGTATCTATGGAGAGTTGGGAAGCGAGAGGAAATTATAGTCCTGGCTGGGATTCTCTCTGTTATGCTGAAAACATAATGCAGATCTATGTGAGCAAATACTTTTAAGTTCCATAATGAAAAGGAAACACTTTTTTCCTTCATTTTGGCTATTCACATATTACGTATCAGGATAAAATATTTTTGACTGTAATTAATATTATTCATATTATCAAATACATTGAAATATACTGAAGCCGGTAGGTGCTACGTAAAAAAAAAAATATTATATGGCGGCCGCCAGATAAGTTTCTGGTCGCCGCCAGTTATTTATGTGGTGGCCGCAGGAACACTATTTGGCAGCCGCCAGAAATATTTTTCTAGCGGCCGTTGAATAATAATGTGACGGCCGCCAGATAAAATATTTTTCATACCTTGCACCTACAATGTACTGGCTTACGTAGCATTAGGATGCTTTTAAATAAACTTTTTATTAATATGTATGTATATTATTTTTTAATCTTTTTATTTTAAAGCATTTTATTCAATTTCAATTTTATGATATTAAGGTATATTTTTATAAAACATGTAGTTGTATAACCTCATTGATGAAAATGTATTGCATATACCTGTATAACGTTTTTTTACGTTTACTATCTCATGTCTACATATCTTTTCATTTGCATTTTTCGTATGGGAAAATGTTAAATATTGATTATAAAGTATATGTATAAACTGTCAATTTATTATGATGTTAAAACTTTCGAAATATGTTTACGTTTTATAAGTTCAATTCATCCTCTTTTAAAGAAAAGTAACATTTAACACACCAGAAAAATATTGCACCTTTAAAAAACATTCGCATAAGATAAATACCATTTTCCGTAAAAAAAAATTGTTGAAATTGGTTAACTTATGTCTTTATTCATATTTATCCTATTCCATTTACGATTCTGACGGTTAAAAAAATCCACTTTCCCCCTATAAAAATGTCTACTCCAAAAATATACGAAAGGAGGTATACTGGAATTTTCAATTCACGTGACCGGAAAATGCGTAACATAAATTATTTTCATATTTTTAGGAAGATTAGGAGTTTTTCTACAAAATATCAAAATTTCATAAAATTTCGTGAGGGGCGGAAAACCAGTTTTACCGAAACCCCCTTTATTGAATCATCAAACTAAGGAAAATTTCTCATGTTGATACACAATCCAACCTAAAAAATTAACTGAATTATCAAACCAAGGTACACTTCCCATGCTGATACGCAATCCAACCTACAAAATCAAACCAAGGGACATTGCTCATGTTGAAACATAATCCAACCTACAAAATTTAACACTGCTTTAATATTTACAAGCTTATACCACAGATTGCTATAGACAAGTTCATCACGCTTTTACAAGATCAAGATGCCATTGTGACATTGCAGAAAACAGTTGTGATATGAGATACTAGAAAACAGTAACGAGGTGAGATTTAATTAAGAACAGCTATGATAAGACATTTTAGTAAAAAGTTAGAAGATTAATCGAACCCTTTTAATATGACATTCTACAAAACAACTATGATATAAGATTGCAGAATTGTAGATTGTAATTATGATATGAAACTGTAAAAATACAGTTATGATAGTATAATTATGTATAAAACAGCTTTGATATGAAATTATAGAAAACATTTATAGGATAAGATTATAGAAAACAGTTCTGAAATGGCATTCTATTAAACAGCTATGATATGAGATTGCAGATAACAGTTATGATATGAATTTGTAGAAAACAGCCATAATATGAGGTAGAAGAAATTAGTTATAATTTGATTTTGCATATAACAGTTCTTACCTTTGTTGTAAAGGAGCCTGCCTTCACATAGTGGTTCACCATCTGGTCCTTGGTTAGAAACCTGTAGTCTACAATATCTCTCTTCAACACCCAGATAAATGTGGGGTTGACATTCCTCACAATCCGAGACTGAAAAAAAGACACGCAGATTTCTAGTCAAACACCTTCAAAGCATGGCAGTTCTTCTAATCCACTATATAATATATAGGATGTATACATACCATTATTCCATATATCCCATCCTCTTCTTCCCATGGTGGTATCTTAGGTTGATCATCTGTAAGGAGAAGGGTTAAAATTCACAAATGTTCTATGGCAAAAAAAAAATTAACAATCAAGTAATTCCCTTCTATCAGCAGCATTATCATGAAATGTGAAGATTATGAGAAATCAAAGTAATAGATTTCTATCACTGCTACCATTAACATCATCCTAACAATTAAAGTAACAACTTACCAATAACAACTTCATTATCATAACATTTGAGTAACAACTTACTATCGCTATCACCATCATCATCATCGTCATCATCATCATCATCGTCGTCATCATCGTCGTCATCATCGCTATCATCAGCTGTTTTACGACGCTTCCTTGGTGTTTTCTTTGGAGGAGTAGACATTTTGTAGAATTTCTCAACCCAGCCTCTTTTGCGAAGACTTTGTCTGATGGCATTGTATCCTCCTTGGATAGTGAACACTTTCCGGTTCTGTTAAATAAGATTTTAAACAGCCAAATAAGTCAATTATTCATCAGTAGAAAAATACATTATTGGTAAGTATCATTGCCTTCATCATAAAAATCTATGTGTTGCAGATTACCTACAGATATCTTTTTATTTAATTTTGAGAATAAAGTTTTCTTCTTTCACAGTCAAATATTTCTTTGAAAAATGGATAATCCAAGCTATATTTCTCCATAAAAATGAGATTGTTAAAGAATGTTTCATTCAATACCCATATCAAATTAATCTTTAACTATAGAGTTTTTATCACAATATCAAACCAAACAAGTCTAAATGTTATACAATGTTTTAGAAATTTTTTTACTCAGAAAAAATATCACTATTTTAAGCAGGAAAGTTAGATAAAATGAACTTTCTATACAATGTTTCATACAGTGCAAAATTTGAGTTTCAATGTGTTATAAAAGAAGCACAAAAACTCAAATTTAAAGTCAATTATCGAAAAATAAATGAAATCTGAAAATATTAACGATCATTGCAGTTTTTCTTAAAATTTTCGAATGACCTTTTACATCAGACTTGCGATAGTGACTTCAGATTTCAAACTTCCTAGCTTCATATTAAATGATTATAATCGACAAAATTACCGCCAGTATCATTTTCACTTGTAACAAGATTTGAAAACTTTGCTTTATTTTCATTCATATTCAATTTTTTAGGAATACAAAATGTACTGAGATAATTGCTAGGGAAGACAAATAGGCTACAAAATGAGTTCATGGAAAGTACTTAAGATTTGTGGTATGAGATTCTTCAGTTAAAACCTCACGCAAAAACTTCATATATTTTGTGAAAAAAGGCTACAGAATTTGCTGCCTTATAACAAGATTTTTTATATCCTTAGGTGGAGCATTGTGTGCAGTCTTTAATGGCATTCATAAAAATCCCCTTATAACTTTGATTTCCTTAATTATAAGCAGGTTCTTCATGACCGAGTTTTACTGTATTGGATTGAGAAGTAAATATTTTTACTTGTCGATCACATTTGCAGAAGGCAACTTTAATTTTCTTTTGTATGCTTTTCAGAGATTTTTTGAAATACTACGATTTTTGATGACATCAACATGGATTTTAGACCCAAAATGAAATTGTAAATCATTTATATTCAGATATTTCTTTTCAATTTAACCTTTTGAATGAATCAATTCTTAAATATTTGATAACTAAAACACATCTGAAAGTCTGCTTCCATGAATGCTTTATTATCAGATTAAAAGATAAATCCAATATCCCGGCTAGAAATCATTTCCCTGTCAGAGATACCGATACAATATATCAATTTTTGCATCAATTATTCAAGATAGACTATTGCAATGAATCAGCCACCTTGATTCTTTATGACAGCATTTTATCAACAACAAAAAGCCTGCTTGGTCCGTGTTTCATACAGCCATGTCTCCTAGTCAATAGCTATCAATTGATTCTATTGCTATTTATAAGTTGTTGTTACTTGTAATCATAATCTCTCTATAACACTGGCGGACACCCTGCCTACCTTTATGGCCTTTTCTGCCTGCTCTTTTGCTGCCTTCAGACGATCTGTGCTTGAATTAATGTTGGTCAGTTTCCGGGAGATTTTGGGTCGTCCCAGGGAGGGCATGGTCTTACTGCGAGACAAGGACTCTGACACTTCGCCATCCAAATCTATTTATCCCCAAAAATTCATAGTTAGATAAGTGACACCTTGAACCAAATTCTAATTTATATTGATTTCTTGTTCCATAAATATTAAAAGTAAGAGAATCTGGAGATTTACAACTGTCAAGTTATAAATGATATTGGACAACGGGTTTTCAAAGCATGCACTTAGTAAATGTGTAAAGAACATCAATAAAGTTAACTGAACGATAACAAATTAATATGATTGTCTTGAAAGGTGAATATTAAGGCCATCAAGAGGTTTTTCCATCCTGTTTAATTACGTTACTATTCCAGACCTTCTGTGAATATTTGAAAGGTATATCTTAACTTGTACTAGGTAATCTAAGAACTATTACATATTAGATTAAATGTAATTTTACCATCTACATAAACTTCAAATTAAATTTTTATTAGTATGGTTTATGCTTAATAAACCTGTTATTGTTTTTCTTGTAGACAACTGTTATATGTATAATGCAAGGTCACCATTCCGAATTAAAGCAAAATGAACTGATTAAACAATATAATTCCAGTGTTATTTGCCAATGTTTTTACCCTTGTACCTTTGAAACAAGATTGTAAGTTGTTATATAAGAAACGTGTTGGTCAATTCAACATCACAGGTTGATGAAATAATAGTTCAATTAGGTAAAATGAAATGTTAAAAGGAGAATAATTTTTCCTTATAAATGCATACTTGTCACTGTACAAATAATTACACAATTACACACAGTTTCATAGTTCTGTGTCTGTAAATGCAAACACTTTAAAAGACGATGTCTTCCTTTTATATGAGCAATATGACTTCTTTTCTATAAAAGAATGTTTTCCGTATCTTTTTAATCAAGTAAAATTGTGTTGCAATCAAAGAGATTGCTTTTTTCAGCCTAAATTATTTTACTATTATTAAATGTTTTCCTACATAGTTAAAATTGCAAGATATATAAAAGCATATATATATATATATATATATATATATATATATATATATATATATATATATATATATATATATATATATATCAAAATATTTTATTTTAAAATTTCATTTAAATTTACACTTGCTGAGATTTTCAACAAAGCTTAGTTAACACTTTTGAAACATATTATTTGCTTTTAAAACATATTATTTACTTAGACTTTAGTTAACACTGAAGTTTCCATCTGTGGTATATGCCTTTCAAATATGTTTGAACTTTTTTAACATGTTAAGTATGTACATGGATATGTATGTTTAGCATAATTATAATGCAATTCTACCCATGGCATTATTACAATACAGTATGAACCACCATATAATTGGTTTTTAATTTTGTTTTGTGACAAATATGACAGTTATTTTGGGAAATTAAAACACAGGTTAGGGTTCTTCCAAGCTTTACCTCCCTGGCTGTTTGACGGGGATTCAGAAATATCGGGGGTCCCAGTACTGGTGCCCCCTTCTTCTGGAACTTAAACATAAAACAAAATCATCAACCCACAGCAACCTCATGCATAAATCAAAATTAAAAGAAATTATGGTTAAAATTACAAATTTAAGGAAAAAATTCTCATTTTTGGAGAATAAAACATAAATTGTATCTATATTGATGATTATATATAAATGATTTTTTGTAAAGATAAAAGTCATTATCTGAAATGGTTTTATAATTTGTTCTTCCGCAATTAAAAATTGAGATTATAAATCTAATTACAAGATTTCCACTGTAATAAACCTTTCAATATATGGATACCAGAACTGTTCTGACTATGTTTGAGATGAATTTTGAGGTCAGGTAATGTATACTCTTTCAGTTGTTACATGAAATTAGTAAGACATTTTGAAATGATTCTTCTAAACCTAATTACAATAACGAAAGATAATTGACAAAGAGCTAGCTACTCTAAAGATCATGCTTGTTATATGAGTTTCTTCCATTTCTCAATTAATCTTGTAGGAAAATTAATTAAAACAAAATGTTTTCAGTTAAATGTTCTGAGAAGAAATTGTCCCATATACATTTGATATTTAAGATAAACACTTATTATAAGTTATTATTTATTATACTCAAATTTGTATGTCACATGAAAAGAAATATATCTTCAAAATCTAGAGACAGACATTTTTTCTTCACAAACCACAAGCATTTACAATTTAGAGCAAACTTAAATTTCCATGCAGTTAATTTTGAATGTTCACTTAGCACATTACATATGTAGTTTACATAATATATTCAGATGCATGCACACATTTACAAAGACTGCAAATAAAACTGAAAATAAATTTTTGAAAACAAATACAGCCATTTAAAAAGTCGATATCAACATTGCCATGCATAAATATTCCAAGCTGTTTGACTTCTATTAGTATACAACAGATATTTAAATACCCCTTCGTCTTGGAATATCTTTATTATCTGTAATAATATTTATTATCTGTGTATTGTTTGGTAGATAGACAGATAAAAAGAATTGTCAACACCCCCTTTGTAAATAAAACAAATTAAATGCCTCCAACAATACAGATATCCTGAACAAATTGATAAGAAGTTAAAATGCTTAGGTTTTTAGTTATGTTGTTGACATTGTTATGCAACAGTTCTTTTACAAAGTGGGTCATGTAAAAGACCCTAATATTTTGCAGTATTGTAATATTAGTCAATCTTTTTCGAAGAAATAAGGTTTAACAGAGGTGTAAAGAAAATAAGTAGGGGGTCCTTCTTCAAATATAAAGTCTAAAGTAGAAGCATTTAGAATTCCTCCTCAAATAGAATTATTAACAACTCATACTTAAAAATAAAGTCAAACAAAAGTTTCTGGATTTTTATAAAAAATTGTTCGAAAAGTGAAAAAGCCGCTTAGTGAACAGTATACCTAAATCTTCTTAGAAAAAATCCAACCAAAACAAGGTTGAATCAGATTTTTTAAAAATGTGATATTTTTGCACAAAAATTAACATTAAAAAATAATTACAAGAAAAGACTCCACAAAACTGTCTCTTACATTTAATTGCATAGACATTTTTTGCAATAATTGTTTTTTATATTAAAATGATACCACATATAGTGATTTTCCATGAAATTGTTTTATTTTATTATCAAACAAACAAAGGTTGAGTATTTCATCTCAGGCTCAAATTTTGACTAAAATTACTAAATGCAAGTGCTTTTTTTTTTTTTTTTTTAGAAATCAGACATGTTATTTAAAGAAATTGGAGAAAGTCAGAACAAGAGGTCAGAATTAAGAAATATTCCTGTCTTGGATGTATATCTTTACTTTTTACCATTGTTTACTAATAGCATTCCAAGTTTCTAATTTTGAATGTATAATTTATAAATCGTTTTTATTTGTTTACTTTTTATAAAAACAAAGATATTTATTATAATAATTCCACCTTTATTCTTGGTTAAACAGCAAACATTTTTTGTCCATTTATTATTTAATTTATTATCCCAAATAAAAGACCAAATAATAATATTTAATAAATATTAACTGATTAAATTTCTTCTTAAATTAAAAAGTAATGTCGTCAATTTTTTTTTAATTAAAATGTATTACACTTAGTTAAATAAAAGAAAAAAAGAGCCAAAAGTTTCATCAAATAAATATATACACTTTTCAGAGAATAAAAGCTAATTTTACATGTTGTATCCTTTTTATAAAATTTGTTGTTTTACAAGTTGCATATAAGAATGTCACTTTCACAATTTCAGATCTAGATACACTGGGACTTTTAAAACTGATAATGTTTCCCATTGTCAAATCGGGTTAAGAATTAAATATCCTAGCTAGCTTTAACAATGACTCTGAACATCACAAAGAGATACAGTCTGAGACATTAATCCACACATGGCACACATCTTGTAGTTAGGTAGTATGTCAGAACCTTGAATTTAAGTTGTTCATTACACTCTCAGAAACAGAACTCAAGCTTCAGACACAATACTTGTATGTAAGGTATTAAAGCACTACTGTGTAATAGGTGTAGTATAAGGACCTGACTGAATAAAGGCTATATTATTAGGACTATGTTGCATCTTACAGAGATCTTCCAGTTAATCATACCAAATTTGACTACAGGACTTAATAATGGTGGCATTTTTTTTTTTATACTTTTTTCGAGAACAAATTTCAAAACACTTCTCAAGTTAAAAAACCATATTAGCATCCATGGCTGACTATACCTGAGGGGCTCCTAACACAGAAACTGAATAAATATGTACCCAAAAAGGTCTCAGTACCATTTCACTAATACTGTGGATTGTAATGTGCTTATACTTGTATCATAGCAAACTCTAAAAATGTGACATAAAATTGCATATTTAACATTAGAGCAAGTGTTAGCATAGAAAAAGTCAGATCCATAAATTTCACTGAATATGATCAATTTGTCATAGTGCATGTAGTGTTTTATTTTTTTAAATCAAGTGTTTTAGGCGTACATTATTTTACTTTTTGACAACAAATTCAAACCCCTAGGCCCAAACAATTGATCAAAATGTTGTAACAGTCAGTGGTTACTGAATCTCCACAAGGGGAGGGGGACTAAATACCTACCCTCAAGCTCCGAGATGACCTTCCCTTTGTGCTGATTACTGCCCAGTCTGGTTTTGTGACGTTTTAGCACCATGTCGTTGTTACTCTGAGCGTAGGGTCCTAAAAACAATTACACTGCAGATTAAGCATCTACTGTTGATGTCTTTTTTTTTCTTTTACCTGAACTTTAATGATTAAATTCTAAAATAATGCTATGACTGTTAAAATAATCAAAACACAGCATTTTATGTGTGTTGGCTCATATATAGAACACATTTTGACTAATTATTACCATTTATTATATCTGCTTATTTACTTATTAAGGTTCTAGTGGAAGTGATCTGTGTCATTAAGTCAGAAATCAATGCAGTTTCTTTACAAGTCATCTACATACATCAATTAGATTTTCTATGCATGCTGTGTCACTTCCATGGTATCCTTCACACAAACATAAGCACGTTCAATAAATTCATAAAAATTTAAAATGTTCTTTAGAAAACATCCATAATCTTTATATCCAATCTGGTTCACTCCTAAATCTACCATTGCATCAAAAAATCACTTTCTCAATTCAAATAAATATTAAACTACTAGACACCTGCAGTCTATCATGTTTGTATGATCCAAATATATCCAGGTATGGGGGGAAAATAAGGCTTAAATTTTCCAAAACTGACCAACATTTGATAAGGTGTGCAGGTTATACCTTTATTTGTGGAGTTGTTTTTCAGACGCCTTGTCAAAACCATATAAACATCGCTCGTAGGCATGGGTCGATATGGAACAGTAAACATTTTCTTAAATTATTTCTCTTTAATCAATAATAACCATCCAAGAGATTTAAACCCCACTTTCAAAAGGTAATGAGCATACTTTTCATAGATATATGAAAAGAAAAGATTGCACGGAACACATTCAATCTTCTGTATTTAGTACCAGGATAGGGATTGTTGACTTATCATTGGGATTATAAGAAAAAATCATTATAAAATGCAAATCACAGAAGTACGTCAGTCTATTTAAATGTCTTTTAGGAAGTTTTCCTTTTGCAGACAAAAACAGCTTGTTTCCTTGCACATTGTATATTGTTCATTACACTCAATGAAAGTGACAAATAAATAATGCTTCCAGTCTGCTTTTTAAGTCTTCCTTGGAAACAAACACATCAAATCCAATCACACAAAAAATATCTGCAGCTCAATTGAATACATCCATTATCCTTTTACAGTTTGTATTATTTGTAATTACAGAATAAAAATCCAATGTAGGGACTTAGCCAAAATACTATATATTCCAATGTAAAATTATAGAGAGAAAGCCTGGAACATAAAATATATCACATAACACAGAACCTTGCCACTGAATGAAAAGATAGCATTAATAATGAATCAATACTCCTCACAGATCAGGTAACCAGGGTACCCAAGCACCAGTAGAAGATGTGTATGGGATCTTAATTACTGGTTCACCTTCAATGCACCAATGGGAAATCAGTCCTAGTTATTACCAGTAATAAAGGTTATACACAGTGTAAGAATTAGATATATAAAACAACAAATAACTTAGCCTGGATACCTGGATCAAGGAATCTGGAATCTGCCTGGATTAAGGGTCTGGAGCTTAGATATTGGAACCAAGGTACCGGGGACAGGTAAGGAGCTAAGGAGACTAGAGCCTCAGACATTTGAAAAGAGTTATTATAAATCTGGATCCTGTATTCCTGGTCACCTGAGTTACCTTGAGCCTGAATACCAGAGCTGAGTTACCTTAAACCTTGATACCTTAACTGAAGTTCCTTGAGCCTGAATACCAGAGCTGAGTTACCTTAAACCTTGATACCTTAACTGAAGTTCCTTGAGCCTGAATACCAGAGCTGAGTTACCTTAAACCTTGATACCTTAACTGAAGTTCCTTGAGCCTGAATACCAGAGCTGAGTTACTTTAAACCTTGATACCTTAACTGAAGTTCCTTGAGCCTGAATACCAGAGCAGAGTTACCTTTAACTTTGATACCTGGGTCCAGGTACCTGGAGACTAAATATGCAAACTGAGGTGTCCCAGGTCTAAATACTGAAACTAAAATCATTGTAAAAAAGAATTATAGGCAAGATGTTTGATCTTAAGTCTTTGGATCACAGACACCTGATGTATCACTGAGTTCACCTGAATAAATAAGCTGAGACACCTTGACTGAGTTCACCAGAATAAATAAGCTGAGACACTTTGACTGAGGTATATCCTGAATATCAAGCAATTTCTCCAATTTCTTTTTTAGAAACAAATATGATTTATAAATTAAGTAGAAGTGAATTCAATAGAAAAAATATATCCTTTAAATATGATAAACACTTAGAGAATGGATTTATTACAAAAGGTTTTTTTTTCTGACCACCATCTCTTTCCAAAAAATTGAACTCTTAAATTTGAGATACATAGGAACTAGAACATTAAAGTCACTTTGAAATAATTGTATCCACTGTAATGTTTTAATTGACGTGAACTGCAATTTAAATCCCAGTTATGAGCATTGAGATATTTTTTTGAATGGCTAATTCTGTAGTGAACAAGGGATCATTGTTGACTGTAGTCCAGGCCTCGGTCTCTTACAGTCACCACTTCTAATGTGTTAAAGTTTCCGATACTTCACAATCCAAGGTTAGTTAATACCATAATCTGAGGAATTAAAGATATTTATTTGACGTAGTAAATTACTTATAAACCTGCACTTGCAACCTTGCCATTTCTACTCCAACTTGTATATGACCTGAAATCTGAGTTAATTTCCCTTATGATGCTTAGCTGTTTAGAGCTAAAGATTGAATTTTATTGCTTAATATAGATATTAATACAGATTTGATGTTATTTTCTAAATTTTGGTATATAATTACATGTTGTTAGAGCATTTCAGTCCAATATATTATAAAATATTATATATATATTATAAAAACGTGTTTATTAGAAACTTGTTTTAACTGAAAATTATTAAAATTACAACTTTCAGGATGTGTTTGATTGACACGTTCATTGCACTTTCAGGAAATAAAATCTTTTTCTTAATATTTAGTAAAAGTGGAAAATTTATTGTGTATTAATGAAAAATATTTAAACTGTAATCCAAAAAATTCAGAGTAGAAATGTGAGAAAGCAAAACTAACTCACCAGTATTGTCAGTCCGTGCTCAGTGATGTGAGCAAAGTAAACAAATTGAACACAACTGGTGAAACATAAACATTAACAATAACAGAGCTCGAGCCTGTGTTTTCAAACACAGAAGTTTGACGTAATGTTATGAAGAATATTGTGGTCATTGAATTTTAAGAATCAAGTTCAATTCATTAAACTGAAGTTATTTTTTTTTAATAAAAATGGAATTTTACAATTGTAAACAAACATGCAATGCAACTGTGTCCAGATCCCTTTAAGACTTCCTTATTTTAACAAATACAGTTGCCTTGTTCAAAATAGAACCCTCAACTTACAGCAAGAATTTACATTAAAATTTAATATAACTTCAAAGATGTGATGAACTTCAATATTCTATTTCATCATTAAGGTAGTTTATTCCTAAGGTTCTGAAAAATCAGCATTAATTAGATCTAATTAAAAATGCTCACAAAATTCACTAAGTAGCATACCCATGTTATTGCTTTAAAGTTCATTATTATATGTAGTTAATCGCATTTGCACTGTGGGGAAAACTTTCAAATCTCACATATATTTTCAGGAACCGTGGATGAAAGCACAAATAATGCATTTTCTAATTAAAAATTGATCAACCTAACAAGTATATTTTAGGATTAAAAAAATAAAGGTATCCATGCAAGCATTCAGAAAAAAATGCACACTCTAAGCAGCTCTTCATACTTGTGCTCTGGTATTAACATGATTAAGTTCTTCTAGTAATTTCATTTGTTACGTAACACACAGTAAAAAGCATGTGATATTGCAAGATTATCACAGATCACTTCCAATTTCATTTCATGCTAATAGATATTGGTATAAATTTTTTGTACTTTAATGGGATGCAATTATGTCTACTTTTTATAAGACCGTCTCTAAGACATCAAAGAACCTTGAATCATTTTAAGATGCATAAAATGAAAATTATTGCATGAAAAAATTCCAATTCCAAGCTTCAATTTTCGGACTTATTTAATTAAAATAAATAATAATTTTAAGAGTTATTACTCCTTGCTGGGGAGCAGACATCCTTATAAAATATGAATACTGCAAAATATTAGATCCATGATTTAAACATGTAAAGACAGATTAATTTGTGAAATGAAGTCTATCAGTAGCAGCTGATACCAGTCATCTGAACTTTTTTTTTTAAATTTAATACTTTTTAAATACAGAATACAGCTAATTCCCTCACCATCCAGGATTCTCTGTAGACTAGGGGACACGTTCTTGCTGCGGTTTACATCCTTTCCATCACTGCTCTCCTGATCGCCATCTTGTCCTTGACTTTTGACCCCATCTGATGGCTCCTCTGTAGAGTTATTATTGAGATCCCCCTCTTCAACTCCCTTTTCAAAAAATGGTTGAAAAAGTAAGATTTCTGAATTTCAATTGTCTATGCAAAATGAATTAATATCAATGATTATTTTGTATACATATACATAGGGTCAGTATCATGGGTGTAAGGAAGATTGGGAAACAGAGTTCAGTAAGAAGCATGCATGATAACATGCAAAAACATGCATTGACAAGCTTCCTGAAAGAAATGTAAACATATACAGTAAAACTCGAACACAGATATAGTGAATTTATAGATATAGCGAACTTTTTTTGCAATCCCCTGCAAAATTCTCAACAATTCCTAGTAAAATTTTTCTGATATAATGAACTCGGATGCAGCAACATATTTGTGGTTATAGTGAACCAACTTTGTGTCCTCTAGAAGTTAAAAATAATGAAATTTACATCTTTTATCATGAATTTTCAAAAATATTGAACTGACATTAATTTTGTAAGTATTTTTATTTGAAACTCAATTCATCCTTGAATCCCAAAGGTAAATGTTGTATTTTATACAACTTCCCTGTCCCTATAACTGAGTTTTACTGTAGATTTAAAAGAAACCCTGGCTCATTCATCAGAAAAAATTAATATATTAATTTTTGCGACAATGAAATTGATGAAATAATTGCATTTTCCTTTTTTAAAGATGTACCAATAGCCTTATTACTGCAGTGGTGTGTGAAAAAAAAATTAAATAAAATTGAGTAACGCACTTTATTAATTTTTAAGTTTAAAATTAGATGAGAAATGTGATATCAGCTGATGATCAGCTGACTTTGGTTGTACTGTAGATCATTTACCTCTTTTATTTTCTTGTATTTTCTGAGTTTACTGACAGGAGAAAGTCGACCATTATAAGTGGAGAAGTGGATCGATGCTTGTTCAATCTGTAATGTACAGCACCACAGATAACAGCTAACTAATATATAACAACATGTTAAGTAAGTGGAGAAGTGGATAAAGTTCACTGTAATGTATAGCACCACAGATAACAGCTAATATATGACAGCTAATATATAACAACATGTTAAGTAAGTGGAAAAGTGGATAAAGGTTTGTTCACTGTAATGTACAGCACCACAGATAACAGCTAATATATAACAGCTAACTAATACATGTATATAACCATGATAACTACGTGTTAAGTAAGTGGAGAATTTGAAGTGGATTGAGGCTCAATATGTATATTTCTATACTAGATACTTTGAAGCTATTACATGTTAGAGAAAGAAAAAGGTGTTCTATTACTATATACACATGCACCTTATCATGCACCTAATTTTGATTAATAAATTTTAATTTGATTAATTGCTTAATTATTGAAAACTTAAAGAAAAAAAAAAGAAATGTGCATTTATATTTTCTTTCTGTCATCTTGACACTGTCAATCACACAGAAGTATTAAAGCATTTCTGTATATGGTAGATATAGAATTGCCCCTCCTCCGAACATACAGACTATAAATAAGATATCTCAAACTCTATGGGACCAAGCTTAAACTTTGAGATATAAGCTAAAGGATTTGAAATAATGAGGGTAAATAACATTAAAAAAATTCAACATGTTGCTAGCTCAGGTATTTGAGATGCTAATTAAAACCAATTAAATATGTTACATAAAAGAAGCTATATAGGCTAGATGGTAGAACTTAAATCTTATAGTTATACAGACACACTGGGTAGAAACATCAGAAATTGTGTGAGGCAAATCTAATGGTTACATTGAAACCAAAAAATATACACAAGCTAGCAACTTTCATTTAAATTGTACGGACATCACAAATATATATATAAACAAATTCAAAACCTGGCTATATAGCAGAGTTCTGGCAAAGTTCTGCAATTTATCACTGGTAACAAATACATGTATGACCAGGGACTCATATACTAACGGGATAGGCAACTCTCGCGATATCTCATAATTTGCGGGATTTCGTAAGTCAATTTTAATTAAATATATCTCTTTTGCTATCAAATATTTCAGAATAAAACCTTAATTTATTTGTCAAAAAATCATTGAAGATTTGTTGTTAGCACTATTTTAAATCCTTATCTAATAGAAGTAATTACGTTTATCATGTTTATTTCAAAATCAGTACATGTCCCTGATCGGCCTTATTTCCGAGAATTCGCAGATTTTGGTGGTTGTTTACTTAATATTTAAATTATTTTATAATGTGTGCTTTAAAATATTAAAAATCCATTCCTATACACAAAAGGAACAGATTACATTAATCAGAAAACAAGCTTTTTACTGGGAATAAACGTAGTTTGAAAAACTTGCAATGTTGTTTGTGATGTTTTGGGTATTTAAATAAACATGGTGCTGAAGGAGTTGCCTATCCCGTTAGTATACAGGTCCCTGGTATGACTGACACAGATGCAAGAGTTTCATTAAATTTTACATTTTAAAAACAACCCCCCCCCACCCACCCACCTCCAATAACAAAGGGATGTATGTAATGTCCTTACAAGAAAACTGTTATACAACTGTCTGTTAACGCGATGTAATTCCAGATTCCTCTGACTTTATCCACCTATATTCTGACATATCACAATACAAAACTAGTGGTTAGACTAAGAGGAATCTCGGCACGGATTTATAGTAAACATAAACTAAACATGCAGATATCAGTCACTCAAAGTATAATCCATAACTATTTATCGACAATTTTTCGTATTGCATGTATTGCATATAAAATACTGTTTAATGGTCAAAACTGTAGAAACACTTACATTCCTCTTTTGGCGATCTAAATGCTGCTGCTGTCTTGCCATAAAATCTGTTCCAAGATTTTGAACAATTTTTTGGCTTGCAGTACTGACTTTAGGACGGAAAGTAAATATATTATCATCTAAATACACATCCGATTTCGCAGTCATTTTTCCTGTTCGTAGGTTGTAAATAGATGGTTTGTTTACGTTTTTCTCTGTTGGTTTTGGAGACAAACAACTTTCACTTGACGTGTCGTGATCGTTTGAATCCTCCTCTTTCTCTCCAAAAATTGCACTTTTATCTAAATTTGTTGGAATAGGCGCTAAAGGTTCAAGAGTTCTGCATTTTATGTCTCGCATAAAATGAGGAACATTTGAATCTAAAGTTTTCAAACGACGATTTGCAATTTTTCTACTTGTTTCACTGATCTTTGGAATAAATGCATAGCTCCTACTGGCATCTTCTTTTAGTTTCATCCTTTATCATGTCTGGTTGATTTTGTCAGCCATGTTTGTGATAGTTGCATCAAAAAAAAAGATTACCTCCTCCACTACATAGTGTTGGCGTACACCGTAACTATGGAGCCGCCATTTTCTTCCCCCAAATGACAGTCTCGAAACAAATGGACAATTGATCTTTCGTCTATATATTTTTTTTAATTACTTAGTTCTTCTAATCAGTATTTTCAGTTAAAATTTATGCTTAATGATTATAGAATATAATTATATTTAAATGACAATATATCCTCGAGGAACCTATTTCGGTTAAATCAAAGTACTGATAGTACTGCTATCTAAGGACGTGTCGCCCCCATGAAGACTTGCGCTGAGCCCAAAAGAGCTTTTGCGCTTAGATGTTTCGCGCCGCATATAATCTAACAGAATATTATCTATAAATTTAAAGATATTGCTATGTATTTACACAATGATATGTTGACGGTGCGACCGTTAGGGCGAACGCAGATCTTATACATCGTCTCTTCAAACCGCGCGTGACATTTGGTAGTCTTGACTCTGACGTCACATGACGTCGTACGTAAGTTGCATTACCAAATCGAAGTCTGAACAGTGCTAGTTTTAATGAAGAATGTTTAATCTACTGTTTTTTTCTGCAATATCCATAAAATCACTGTGATATGGAATTCCATATACGACAGCCAACTGCTTACTGCCAACTGCTCACTGCGTACGGCCAACTGCTCACTGCTTACTGCCAACTGCCACTGCTCATAGGTGATATTGCCTGTTTTGTTATCTTTTATATCTTTAATACGCATGCTTAATTGAATAAACCCTATGATAGATTACAATAATAACAGAAATTGGCGGATTCAGGAATTTTTAAACAGTGCAGGCAAGGAAGGAATAAATAGGAGGAAAGAGTATTCCCTCTTAAATACATACAATACATCTAATTCCCACATTTCCTTGCAGGCAAATAATTCAATGGATTTTTTGACCGGGGGAATATGAAAGGCTTATATACGTCAGAAAAAAATGGGGGGGGGGGGGGCGGGGGGCAAACTTTTAGTAGGATCTTGGGTTACATTTGTTGGTATATGCATTTATATCAGAAGTACTAATAAAAAATCATTAAGGCCTTTTACTCTATGTAAAAACAGTTGATCTCAGACAAGGAAAAGCAATTTCATTGCTGGGGGGGGGGGGGGGGCAACCCAACATAATTCCCTTGACAAGGAATAAAAAATCACAGGTATATGTATAGTATATGTTGGAAATTTAGTGCCCCACCACCACCACCACCACGAATGTTTGTACAGATCTAACATTAGCCATTACAACAATTTACATAAGACACATATAAAAATTCCCACACATATGTACTTTTCCTAGGGTAAAAAGAAACACCGAAAGATATCACTAGATATTTTACACTAGGCAAAAGTTATGTTATAACTTTTAGTAATATTTCTAGTATAAATATATAATACCAACAAATGTTACTCAAGACCCTTCTAGAAGATTGTTCTTTGTCGTATGTGACCCTCCCCCCCCCCCTTTTCCCCCGTCAAAAAAACTACCAAATTATTTGTCTGCAACGAAATCCAGAAATTAAATGTTTTGTTTTTAAGAGGAAATGCTCCTTCTTCCGATTTACTCCTTCCTGGCCTTTAAAGTTTAAAAATTCCTTAATCCGCCAAATTTTGTTATTATTGTAAGAATTACGCACGCTTACTCTCGATTCCCGCCTACGTTTTCCATCCATTTAGTTCAACATAAATGGCAATTTGAACATTAAAACTTGTTTGAATGCAAAGAAGAGTTCATTAGTATTAAGTACTTATTTTAGAAAACAGTGATAAAAAGTTAATTGCTTTTATTTACAACTTCTTTTTCATAAGGGGGTAGAAATTTTTTGTCAATTGAAATCAGGCTGAAAACATCACCAGATTTTTAAATACTCATGAAAATGGATAAATGACTCTTAAATTTCACCGTATGTTTAACTTATGTAAAATTCAACATATGAGATTGATAAAGTGATAAAGACAAAACATTTGGAATGAATAAAAACTGGAAAAAAGGATTTGTTGTTTCGCGAGGGAAGACGTTTTAAAAATACATTTCCATTTTCCGCTAATTTCTGTAGTGAAAATTGTTCTCAAATTAAAGACTTATATCTCTTTGTTTTCCCAATTATGTTATGTTTTACATTCGCAAATCGTGGGGAGGGGGGGGGGGAGGGGGGTCCGGACCCCCCCTCGGAATTTGTAGAGTTATTTAATGTATATATATACTTTACCAACTAAAAGTGACCTTGGACCCCCCTCCCCCTAGAAAACGCGGATCCGTGTTTAGTTGGTATGAAAAGTCATAGATATGAAGATATGAAGCATAAGAAGTCAACCCCCCCCCCCCTCCCCCGAAATAGGTTTTTCACGTTCAGGAAAGGAGTTTTTTTTTTTTTTTTTTTGTTTTGTTTTGTCTTCTTGTCAATAAATTTCTGGGTTGGATTTTTTTTTACTGGGGTGGACCCCTCCTGGAAAAAATTCCTGGATCCGCGCCTGGTTTTATGAAAATTCACATAAATATCAATATAAATATGAAAAATTTATTCAAATATGTGTGGCAGTTGGCAGTAAGCAGCTAGCAGTTGGCAGTAAGCAGTAAGCAGTGAGCAGTTGGCAGTAAGCAGTTGGCTGTCGTATATGGAATTCCATACTGTGATTTTTTTTTTTTTTTTTTTTTTTTTTTTTAATTTATTTATTTATTTTTTTTATTTATTTATTTATTTTTTGTTGAACTTTTGTTGCTACCGCTAGAAAGAAGTTTGCGGCGAGATGCAATTCGCAAAGCGCTATGGGACCACAAAAAAAATTCGTTTGGATCAATGTGCAAAGTCCGAATTTTCTTTTCGCCCAGGCGTTGCTTTAAGAGCTTGCTATAAAGTTCATATTGACTTTACCTAAAAAAAAAAAAATAAAGCACTGATCACAATGCCCCGTAAGAAAAATTATGGAGAAGGTTAAAGTTTCTCAAATGCAAACCAAACTCCGGGGTCAAGGTCAAGAAAATAAAAAAATATTTATACTTAAAGAAAAGACTTTTCTCACGAAATAGTCCTGTAAAACACAGCACCAACCGTTCAAAAGTTATGGCCAGGGCCATCTTTAAAAAATAGTTTGTTTGCCCTCTCCCGACCGACTGGCTAAAAATGACAGAACTCAAAACTTTTTTGTACATTCCAACACACGATATTGGTTTTCTTTTTATTCCCGAATTTTCTCATCCTGTCAACATACTAGTATATATTGATATGTTCTGGAAAAAAAAGATTTTCCCACCTACCTACCGATCCAATTCTTTTACCCTGAGTTGGGAGAGGGCAAACAAACATTATTTTAAAGATTGGCACAATGTTAAAGTTTTTTAAAAGTGGGTCAAACTTCAAGGTCAAAATCAAAGTTTCAAAATTAATGTCACACAGGTTTGTAAACAATAAACTTTTATTTTTATGCCCCCGTAGACGAAGATTCGGAGGTATATTATTTTTGCCTTGTGCGTTTCTTCGTCTGTCTAGCTGTCTGTCTGTCTTTCTAGCTGTTTGTCTGTTTGTCCACAAAAACTTAACCTTGCCCTTAAATTTAGATTGGTTGGAGGTATATGGCTTTCATATTTCACCTGTGCAATCCTTGTGACAAGTCATTTTTGGGTACAACATATTTTACCTCTTGACTTGACCTTGGAGTTTGACCCAATTTTGCAAAAAAAAAAAATGCCAAACTTTAACCTTGGACATAACTTTTGAACAGTTGGTGCTAGGGCTTTCACACTTTACCTGTGTATTCATTGTGACAAGGCTTTTCCTTGGTTAATTTTTTTTTTAAATTTTAACCTTAGCCTTAGAGTTTGACCCACTTAAAAAAAATAATAACCGAAGCTATAGCTCTTGAACATTTTGAACTGTCACATCTGTTTCATATTTGGATGTTTTGATGACTATGGACGACAAAGGCTAACTACTAGTATATCAACTAAATTATATGACCAAGGAGATTACTACAGCTTTTCCATCGTCAACATCCCTTATTTATTTAGTAATATTCCGCTATCACCTGCATATGGTGACTTGTTTCACACCTATTTTTATACCTTTTTAAAAAATTAACTTAATTGACTATACCGAATGTTCCATCTACTCGATAAATGCATGGGGCTTGCGGCGGGTTTGACTGGTCAATGGGGTATGCTTACTCCTCCGAGGCACCCGATCCCATCTCTGGACTTTCCAGGGGTCAGTGTTTATGCCCTGTTCACAGATTTGTATTGTTTGATTTTTTTATGAGATCGATCACTGTTTGCTATCGTCACCCTTTTTCATTGGACACACTTGTATTGCTGGTTTGTTTAAAACTTGTAATTTCACTATTTATTTGACAAATAACTTCATTTTAATGAATTGAACTTATATACGAAAATGCAACGACATTTTTTATAACTGAACAACAAGCACCCATGTTTGTTATTATGGGCTTACTCTCTGTAAGTGTTTAGGTTATCATTTTATCGGATGTGTTTGATTTGATTACTCTGCATACTTTATTTAACACGAAAAATCTAAACTGCATGGTGTGTTGGTTTTGGTGTTCGACTTTTCTAGATCTGAATTCTTGATAACTTTTATAAATTACAGATCTTCCAATTTTTCTTTAACAAATGAGAAAGTACAGGAATGTATCTCAATGAATAAATGAAATATGGAGATAAGGAACAGTATTCAAGCTCAAAAGTCCATTTAAACAATACAAATCAAGAGCAGAGAAAACACAGACCTCTAAAACAATAAAACATCAGAGGTGGGATCAGATAATGTGAAGGATTAAGCATCCCCTGCCGACCGCTCACACCAGCCGTGCACCCCCCCCCCCCATGATCGGGAAATAACGAAAGAAATCGGTAGACGATTCAGTGTGTAAACAATGACATAACAATTAGAATGAAAAACGTCAGTCAGCATTTGACTTAATGATAGATTGTATTTGCTGACAAGATCATTGTATCAACCATGCATAGAACTTGCGAAATGATGACCTTAAAGGAGAATGTTGATATTTCATCAACTTGTTTGTGAATAACTTACCTCGTTTTAGGAATTGTTCGAACATAGAGC